CCCCCAAAACTCCAAATCCATCCCCCAATTACCACTTAAAGGAGCTCTACCCTTACAGTTCATTCAAAGATCGTTTAAAGATCCTAAACAATTCCGAAAATCTTGATTACCGCAATTTTTTTCTTACTTATCAGTTATCGAATATCAGTTTTTGGTTTTTGGAAAAATGGAAAAATGAACACGTGATTTTTTTATGAGTAAATATGAAAAATTTGACATTTTTTTTACCTTATTATCTCGTGAAAATTATTATATTCGTTGTTTATGAATTGTTAATGAATGGTAATAATTGATATTGAAATCAGCTCAAGGTCACCTGTGGTTTACTGGGATTGATAATTACTGCAAAAATGACAATGAAATTTTTACCGGAATCACCGGAACATGATGACATGGTCTCGGGTTGAATTCGCCAAAGTCATGACTCATTAATTAATTAATGGTGGATCGGTGATTATTGGGTGGTGGTTGGTACAATGAAATAGTAATTGTGGGAGAATTTGAAGAACAGTCGGCTAAAGGTCTAGTCGACTAGAGTGTCGCTGGATCGATCGAGGGATGCGTACGCTCGTGCACCAGCTGGGGCTCCACTGCCTCTCCAACGAGGACAGAATCAACAGTGACAAGACCAAGAGAGAGACAGGGACAACTGGAAAAATAACGAGTGAACTAAACGATCGATCCCACCATTTGACCCACATCTTCCGTGTTTTGTTGAATATATCAGACCGCCCAGTAGTTTCATTATTTCGTGATATTAAATTCTCAGGGTCATCGTATATTTCCATCCGAGTTACAAAACACGTTCTCATTATATCCCCATTAAGCACGTCAATAAATACCATCGAATATAATTTATTCTGTTGCGCAATCTAGCCCGAAATTAACATCGGCATTTCATGCTGTCCGGGGACAAAGTTCAAGGGAGTTTATCACCAATGTATGAGAACATCTAATTCACCCTGGGATCAGTGGCAACAGGTAACATGCATGCGTCAGGCTTTTCATTTATTCAAACCATCAAGCACCGAGATCTAATTAATCAAACGATAAATAATCATCCCTAAAGACTGATTACTCAATTCTCATTCTCAATTCTCCAGTCATCGATAAATATTGATCCAAAAACTATTGATTTTGGGAAAAAATACTTAGAGACCTTTTTCCTCGAAAATTCAATTCTCCGCAAAAAAGGTATTTTTACATTTTCACCTGAGATCGATGGTTTCCGAGATAAATCGATAATCCCGAGTGGTAAATTCGACTCATGTCACTTATCACTTCACAGAAATGAAGTCATGACAACGAATAATAAAGTTAAACGAACAATAAAATACAAGAGTCATTTATTTTTCCCATTCACTCACAAATGACTTTTTTATTCCCCTCACAGCAATTAACGTTTTTTTTTTTTTTATACCATCTCTTCGCGCCCACTGACAAATATCTGGAGCCACCTCAGGGTCCATCATCCAAAATGATAAATGACTGAGTAAAAAACCATTGAATAACATTGACTATTACGTTTTAAACTCCGTCACCCAGTGGAAGATGAATCGTCCTCGTCCTTATTAAATTCCACCGATGGAGTCGATACCCTTATCGAGTCGTCGATATATTTATTAATTATTAAAAACGTAAGGAAATAACTGTGCGCGGGAAGGTGGAACGAACGGTTGGACCAAAGCGCTAGTACAAAACATGACAAACTGAGGTGCGAAGGGGTTGAAGGGGGTGGAGGGATGTGAAAATCGAATGGGTGAATAAAATACGCGGGGTTTGTGTGGTGGTGCCACCTGACAGACACTGGGAAATTCGCGAAAAGTGGAAATTTTCCTTCCTCCACTCGCCCATGCGCATCGACTTTAATCGAATTTTCAAAGACGTGGTAAATTGGGGGATGAGAAGGGGGTGGCTTTTTGTCATCAGTGTGCATCTCTCTCACACCCAGCTATTTATCCAGGTTGGCTAGTTAACATTAACATGAAATGTCGATAAACATCGGCTGACGGAAATTATCCAGATTTTTCTCATTCCTCTTCACCCCCTTTATTTCCTCCCCTCACGTCGTTGACATTAATTATCATATTTTATCGCTATTTTCAGGGGTGCACGTTTTCCGAATGCTAAACACCGAGTTTGCGTAGTTTGAAATCAATTTTAGGATGGAGTTTATAATGTGCGCATGACGTGAAAATTGATTGTTCATATTACCCCACCGTCTCGTTGTTTCAGTACTCGGTGAATACCACCCCCTGCATCGATATTCAATACTGGGGGATTTCTGGGATTTTCGGTGAATATAAGGGGACAGAAAGAATTCTCCATTTTTACTAAGTCATTCGGTAATTAATCGCTTTTGTTTTACACACCTCACATCAGTCCCTCGATTCTACTCTAATCTACTCTAATTACTGCTAATTACTCACGATTGTTCTGCGGTTACGCGTGTCTCAATCGGAAATTCCACGTTTTGCACTGGTTTTTCATTAGCGATGTCTTTTTTCCCGTTGTATCTCCACAATCAAATCGGCGCGCGCGCATTTTCCTACCGGAAGTCAATAGCTATCCTCTCAAATTCTGATATAATTGAGATTTGTATTTAGACA